CCTGTAGCCCCCCCCACTACCAAAACCTTGCAACTCAAACCCAGCACAACTTTTCATGGACTCTACAATTTATAGATGTGTTAATAAAATTGAAAACTGGAAAGAGGTGTTTGAAAAAAATTAATAGAATAACTAAATTTAATCTAAAACCACTTTGGCCTGGAGGAATATACATCCTCAGAGTAACAGGAACTTTGTGTATATTTTATTTAAGGATTTTAAAGTATCATTACAAAATAAACCGACTCAGTGTGGGAAGTGTGACATAGTAGACGAAGCATAAAAATGTTTTTGGTAATCCAGCAGTTCAGAACTCTTACAGGTGTCTTTGAAGTATTCCTATTTCATTGTGTTTTTTCTAATACTATGGGTATTCTTTCACTACAGGTAAATAAGAACTAGAGTTCCAGTTTGTTGTAAAAAAGATGGTCATGCTCTCCTCGTCCCAAGCCCAGTGTTCTCACCTTTTCCCTTGCGTTGGAAACTGTGTCTGTCCCTTATGTAACTGTGTAGCTGTGGGAGTCTGCTCACTGGGCGAATCTAATAGCCACATTTCCTGGAGTGTGTGTGTGGGGGGTGTTAGGGAATTGAGGTTTCTTTTAGTTTTGCATCTCTGAATTGATTTGCCTTGTATGATTGCTAAGGCTGATGCAGGAAGCAGTAGAAATTTGCAAGGCAACCTACTGTTGCACCAGAGTAAATAGTGTGTCCCTAAAGGCTAAGTCTCTTATCCTTGATTATACTAAAGGTACTCCTTATATTTAAGCAATACTTCCTCTTTCTAAATGTTAATGTAGAATGACTTGAAAACTTCATTTATGAAGAGTCAGGCTCAACTCTCAGCTGGTTTCTAATTTTCTTTTTCATAGTGCTTTTTGTTTAGTGCTCTATCTATATTGTTTCTAGACTGAAACATTAGTGAGTACTGACTGTAGTTTACTATCACATTGACACTGATTCCAGATTTTGCTCACTTGACTAGTGTTTGACTGTGATAATTGTCTAACAAGTTGCTTGCCATCCATGTCAGAGTTGTTTATTATGATATTTTCAGGATTCATTTGAATTCATTTTTATGTAAACATCTGACATTTTATGTAATTTTGATTGCTTGGTAAGAACTCAATTGAAGTGGATGTGGCATGTTGAAGCATTGCTGATTTCTGTCGCAAATTATAGATTAAAATTGACTCAGAAGATATAGTAATTACGTTAAATTAATTAATGTCATAGCAGGCACTTACCATATTTTAATTTATTAAAATGAGCAATTGACTTTATTTCTGCTTTAGTGTTCCAGTCTTTGATAGTTTGAATTCAGAAATACTGTCTTGAGTGGTCACTGGCAATTGCCGCATATTCTTTTTACAGCCTTCTCCCAATTATATGTGTATTTGTGCTGCACAAGGTTGCACTTTATTGTGGGTTGCTGAGGGTTAGCCACAAAATTCAGCGTTGGGATTTGACTGAAATTTCTCTAATTATGTTTGCCTTTCTAGTTTAAATTCTGCTCACTCAGTCTTAAACTATCTCTAGGTCAATGGTGTCCATTCTTTTTTACTTGAAGACAAAGTGAAAATAAAGAGGAGAAAGAAGCTCACCTTTAGCAAGCACTGGCCAGCACGGTGTTCATCGCTGTCAAGTGGCTGTGCAATTCCTTCCACTTAAGCAGTGGGTGCTGCTGTTCAGAGTCCTTGGTGGTGCAGAATTAGCACTGTTGAGTTCTGTGCCTTCACTCCTCTCAGACAGAAGTATGAAAGGGGATCACTTGGTGGGCTGCTCTGAATTCTAGGTCTTCTGAACTGCTTAATCCAAGCTGGAGATTAAGGATGCCATAGTTAGTAGGAGGCTTTTAGCTTTGGCTTTGGTTTTTTTCCCCTCCTTCTTTTGGGGTGTCCTGGGGAGGAGTAGCACAAGCAGAGCTAGGCAAGCTTCCTCCGTGTGCTGAGCAGAATACAGAGCAGAGCTATTTTGTGACATGGCAGATCAGAAGAAAGGGAAAAGAAATCTTCAGCTGAGAAGTCAGATGTATTTATGTAGTGCTATCATATCCAGATTTTTACAGGCATGTTCTGTTTTTCCACCTAGAAAGCTTGTCTCGATTAAATTTGAGGATTTAGGGTACTGGTCTGGAATTTCAGACACATAAGCAGCTTGATCTGAGCAAGCTGCAGAGCTGCTGGATAATCACAGGTCCTGAAGCAGTTCTTTGCAAGTAGGTAAACTGAGGTATAAATTAAATGTGTTCTGGACATTTCAGATTTACTGCACGTACACAGGTCATCTGTGCAGTATTTTCAACGTATTTCCAGTGCATCCCATGTGTGCATGTTGCACGAAGAAAACGAGGATGCATTGTCTTCTGAGATTGCCTTCTACCTTCTTCATCTAGAAAGGCATGTTATTAAAATTTAAAATTTTGCTTTTATGGTTCTACAAATACACTTTCAAATTTAGAAGGGCATGCACACTTTCATAGCACAGTTGTCAGGAACTAGAACTTAGAAGCTCAAAGGCTGCAGGTTGGGCTCCACTGATCCAGAAGTATTTGTAGGGGAGAATGTAACACTGTCTTTATTACTAGGATCAGTCAAGATCTGGCTCTCATCGCACGGGAAATCAACGATGTAGCAGGAGAGATAGATTCAGTGACTTCATCAGGCACTGCCCCCAGTACCACAGTAAGCACTGCTGCCACCACCCCTGGCTCTGCCATAGACACTAGAGAAGAGGTAGGAGATCTTCATGGAGAAATGCATAAGGTTCTTCCTTTTCTTTATTTCTTTTGCTTTTAGCATTTTGCATAGCCTTTTTTAGTTATTTCCACTCAACCCGTATGCATGATCTCCACTTTGTTTTTTGATTTAAAGTTCCTTTACGTTTCAACGAACAATCCGGAAATTGTTCTATGAACACAGCTTGTCAAAAGGATGCATACTATCTGTCTGTCTCTTTTTTTCCACGAAACATAGGACAAGATAGTTATTTGTTTCTTACTTGTCTGTAGCCTTAGATACTGTTGGATAGTATCTAAGTGCATTTAAAGATACTAGTGTGTATGCACGAATATATACAAATGTATGCATTTAATACTTTGCATAGCTATTAAAAACAAAAAAGTCCCTCTTTTCACAGGTGACATACAAGTTTCATCTTCTGAACACTGAAATACTTAGGTACCGTCAGTTAACAATAACTTTAGATTTTCTTTCTTAATAACATTGTCAAAAACTGCCTTGAAATAAGTTTGCCTAGTGCTTCTAATAATTCTTATTTTCTTTGACTGTCTCTGGTGTGCTCTTCTATGAATATATTGACTAACTTGTTCTAGTAGCCATCACAGGTCTAATGCTGGTAAACATGTTAATCTGAATTTCAATCACTTTCTACCATATTACAATTCACCCTAATATGTTGTAAATGTTTACTGCATTTTTTTCTTCATAGTATTCCTTTCAAAATGTGTTTATTCATTTTTGTGTGCATAAAGTTTGGTTAATACATTAGTTTACTGTGTGTAGTATAATACTGTCTTTTTCTGTGGAAAAAAAGATATAAACAGTGATAAGAAAAATTACAACTGCACTCACATAGTTTTTTTTAATTCTCATCAACTTACAGCTAAACTTTAAGGAAATAGAGTTCTCATTTTCTCAGATCCAGTTAGATCAGTCTGATTTTTATATGATTAAATAATTATTTTCTTGTCTAAAACCTATTGTACAGTGTGTACATACTGCAGGTGGCAGTATCTCCTTTAAGTAGGTATAAGTGTTTCTGTAACGCTATGACTAATCTGGAAAAAAACCTAAATTTGATAGTACTGTGCTTAATTCCACAGATGTATCCCAGTAATTGAAGGAATAAATTATTCAATACCAGTTTATAGGTAACTATTGTGTTAACTGCCCGTAAGCAAAATTTCTGTGGGGTAGTGTAATTTTGCCATGTATGTCTGGTATTTGGAGGGGGGGGAAGGTATTGTTACATAAGAGATGCATCATTCTATACTCTACAGGACAACAGAATGATTTTTATTAGATAGGCTTCTTGTAAACTGTTTCAGAAGAAAAAAATATTAATCTGATTTTTGCATGCATCCAGTAGGTTTCATAAACTGCATTTTTCTTTTACTCCTTAGTTGGTTGACCGAGTATTTGATGAAAGTCTCAATTTTAGAAAAATCCCTCCACTAGTGCATGCCAAACCACCGGAGGGGAATGGTCGACCCAATGATGCTAGGCCTCAGATAACAGATGCCCTCGATCCTCCAACAATTACCCGGAGAAGGACTTGGAGCAGAGATGAAGTAAGTACACAACAGGATTCTCTCTAGTACTGTGTCCATTTTAAGCTTTTAAAATTTTTCCCCACTTAAACTTCTAGAGATTATCCTTTCTTTCCTACCTGTAGCAGGTGGCATTAATACTGGAAAAAAAATTTGTGTATTATTTCATTTGCAAAATGTTCAAATATGTTTGTTTGTATATGATAGTAATTAGAACACAAGTATGATTTTTTTAATGTTTTTTTATTTAGTTCCCATTAAACTAATAATATCCTTTTTTAATAAAAACTTATTGCAGGTTATGGGGGACAGCTTGCTATTGTCCTCAGTCTTCCAATTTTCTCGCAAGATAAGACAATCCATAGACAAAACAGCTGGCAAAATCAGGTGGGTTTTTAAAAATTATTGTTATTACTGAAAATATTCTGCTCTCATCAACATTCCCACTAGTAGAAAAGATATGTGTAATACAGATAGAGCAAATGTATGTAGTAGCAACTTGTGTTTTTAAAAAGCAACGTTACCTGTGGTTTTTTGAGCGTTCAGAAAGATTTGGGATGAATATTTTTTCCATTATTGCTTGTGTGTATTTCACATTATATGAAGATAAATATCAACAGAGTTTACACGGACAGAACGATATCCATCATACTTCTGGCAGAGGAGCGGTTCCTGCATAAAATGTCATAGTAGCTAACAGGAGCAATAGACATGTCAAAAATGGTAACATGTTGCTCTACCAGGAGATCCATTTAACTTGAATGGGAGCACAACCATTTGGTGACCACTTTGGTTGACAAGAATAGATGAAAATTCTAAATACAAAGTTCAGGCTATAATGTATAATTCACGTGTCCTTCGTCATGTCTCTGTACAGTTAACCATTTGAAAATAGAGTACGTTAAAAATAAGAAATTGATTTGGATGAACTTCATGTATAATTTTCTGAATGTGAGAAAATATAAGGTCTGTAATTGATCAGTTTGTCTAGGAAGTGTCAGATATTGAAATCTTAGATGGGTGACAGATTAATCACCAAATCACAAATTTATTTCAGTATAGGGTGATGTAACTAGTAAAAGCAGCACAATACTAACGTATCTGAAGATTGTATTCTCATGGGAGTACCAAAAAAGACTTGACCATAGAAATCAAGAACAAAAAGAATTATCTATATAAATTGGTAAAAACTATAGGTTATCTGCTGTTTCTAGTCCTGCTATTTCTAGTAGGAAGAGTATCACTGAGTGAAGCATCAGGTTGTTAAAAGCCTGCAGCCCATTCTTACTAATTCTGTTCTAAGGGGTTTCATGTGTTGTTTTTACTGGTGGTTACAGGTAACATTTGTGAGTACCTTCTTTCTGCTCTCTCGGAACATGGTCCTGGAATGATGTTGATCTCAATTCGTTTTTTCCAACTACATTTTGGGGCTGCAGGATTATAATACTGGAAATACGCCATTTGCTTCTTGTCCCACTTTGGTTTCCCCAGATCGTACTTTTATGTATCATACATATTTATATACATCATATTTATTTAAATCTCCTTAAACAAAATACATAAATGTCTTTTGCTATGTGAATTTCAGATACAAATGAGTTTGTGAAATGCAGGTGTACAATATGGCTACTCTCAAAAGCTGTGCCAAATTAACAGAGTTAAACTTCATTATGCAGAATTTATTATAAATTATACAAAAGTTCACAACTTGTTCAAGTTGAATCAACATCTGAGTGCATGCTCTCATTTACTTTAATAGCTGATCTCAAAAAATGAGCAAATAATTACATGCAAAGAGGCACTTAAGCTTGACCATTCTTTGATAGTCATTCTAAAAGGCATTAGAAATTTGGAAATAGAAACAAAATATTACATTCCATTTTGTTTTGAGCATAATCCTCTGGGAAAATACAGTGAGATCCATAAAGAACTCTGCTTACCAATATTTTTTTTTTCCTTTTAAAGCTGCATCATTGGAACAAGAATCTTGCTTATTGACTGACTTATTTGTGGTAGGCATCTAGGACAATATGTATCTTAAAATGCCTCAGAAGCAGTAGATAGTAGATACGCCACTTTTTGCATCATTTTGAATTTTCTTGATGGTTGGCAGTTTCTGATCTGTAAATGTGTTGCTAGCGCATCTGGATTTTACTTAACATAAAAAACTTGAGTTCAATACAGTGAGTTAAAACAGATTTATGTATGCAAATTCATCCTGAGAAAAGCAGGTAACTATAAAATCAAGTCTTACACTTTTCTGATTAATTTTCTGAGCTTAAAAGGTAAGTCAGCTACATTATAATGAACGTAATAATGATGTGATCATGTATGATTATAAATTAAAGCATACCTGTAAACATTTTATATACATTTAAAGAAAGTGGCATTGCTCATTTCTGTAAAAATATAGTGGAGAAACTTTCATTAATAAGTAACTATTTAGTATATTCCCCAGACCTGTGATCAAAACTTCCTTTCCCTGCTACTCAGAATGGATTTGAATAATATGATGTTATTCATAATATCATTAATATTTTGAATCGGTAAACCAATAGTTTTACAATTGTTTTTTTAGAAAGCATATAAGGCAGCTAGGACCTATTACAGATTTTACCTTAGCTTTGTTTTGAGGTATGTGAGTTCAATTAACTGATGCACTTCTACTCCTTTTTCTGGAGTTAAGCCAGTTAAAATTTCTGCCCAGAACAGATACAATGAGAATCAGTCAGGATTTGTCAAGCTACCAGTTGTGTATTTTTTCCAGAGTGCTTGAACCTGAACGGAGAGGAGAAATTTTAGAGGCATCAATAAGAGTAAGCCAGTAGCCCTGACTGTGTTTTAGAAGTCCTCCATCAAATTTTCTTGTTCACCAATGTAAACCCCTTTCCTGAGAACACAGACACTATAGGGCAATTACGGTCCGTACAAATTTCATCATACATGTTAAAAAATTGCATCCTATCTAGGTCCAAATGGAGAAAGACATGCTTCCTGTGAATGTGAACACTCTTCTTTCGGTAGTATGTTAGTTGTAGTAGCTAGCTTTACAAAAAGACCAGTTTCACTTTGGCTAAAGTATTAAGAACATAAATATTTTCAGTCATTCTTGACAAGCATATCTCTCAGAAATTAAAATAACCTAAAATCAATCAAAAATAAATTAGTATGAGGACAAAAGGTAATCTATATCTTTTTGTCTGACTAGTTTCCTCCCCACTTCATTAGAGCTGCCATTTCTGTTTTCTAATTTATAGATAATGTTCCGAGTTCCCCTGAGTTCTGTCACCGTTCCTCCCTTATATTAAGAAGTAGGATTGAGAGAAGCTTTTAATGCTGTATTCCTCACCTAGATTCTCCTAGTGCTGGCCAAAATGGGTTTTTCCCCCCAAGTCCTAGCGTGGTGTTCAGATTGAACCAGATTCAAGTGCCTGATTCTTTCCTTTCACCAAATCCTCTGTATGTTTGTAATTTTCTTCAGAATAAGGTCATGGCAAAAATTCTGCAGCATTCTTGCCATGTATCCTATAAGCTGTTCTTTCCTAACAAATTATTGTAGTGGCTTCTCAGGCAGCAGATATGCAGTTTGTTTGCTTTTCTATATTTTGTATGTTATAATGAGTTTGCACGAATTATCAGAGGTGATGGAGGGAAGAGGTAAGTAGGTTTTGCAGTGAGAAGACCTACATGGTTTTATCAGTGGTCTACAATGTAAATGCAGTGTTATTGGCTTGCTTTGCAGTCAGGCAAAATCGAAGCAAAGCATTCAGGTCAGTGCAGGTGCTACTTGTCAGTCTTGGCAGTTTGCTGGGCATCCTGCAAAGTGCAATGAAAGAAAAATGGGGACTGAGCACAACCAAATAAAAAAGTTCAGGCAGATTTG